TGGGAATCTGAGGCCCTCCGGCTCGGGAGCGGAGAAGCCGCGCCTCCTTCCACAGCGCCTCTCCCCACCGCCCCCGGCGCGCTCCCGCCCACCGCCTCCCGGGTCTAGAGCGAGAGCGCGCGCCCCCGTCTCCCAACGGCGGCGGAGGGGCGGGCCCGGCTCCTGGCGCCACCGCCCGCAGCCCCCTCCCCTCGCCCGCCCGCCGCAGGCTGCAGCCCGGGCACTCCCGCCCGGCCCCACCCCAGACGACCCAGCGTGGAGAGGCGGGCGGCCGGAGCCCGAGGTGAGCGCGGCGCGAGCAGGTGGAGCGGGCGGCGCGGACCAGGGCCCGGCTGGGGGGAGGGGGACGCGCTCCGGACGCGGCTCTTTGTCTCCCCGAGCCCCATCGCGGGCCGCTGGGGCCGCTCCTCCTCCTGGCAGGTGCCCGCATCCTCGGGGAAGGCTCGGGGGGGCTGGCGAGGGGACCCGGGCGTGCGCTCCCGTCCCCCTTAGCTGGAGCCTATAGCAGCCCCCTGTCCCCGAGGCTGGTGGTCCGGGTCCTGAAGGGGCGAGGGGTGGGGGCGTGGGTCTCGAGTCCTGAAAGGGAGCAGAGGCGGCCGGGCTGGGGCTTCAGCTTTGCAGGAAGATGGTGGGGTTGGGACTAGGGGACAATCCTGAGCAGCTGGGCGGGTGGGTGGGTGAATGGGTGTGTGCGTGGGAAGGAAGTGGATCGAGGCCGAGTTTTGTCACCGAGCGCCCATGGGTGACAACGCTGGGGAAGGGGCAGCGAGGGACCAGGACCAGGGTCCGTGCAGGCAGCATAGCATGCAGGAGCCAAGATGCTGATCCATCCGTCTGTCTCCTCATCAGGTGCGGGATGGACAAGAGGGACAAGGGCAGGTCAGGGGCCGCCACGCGGACGCCAGCTTCTCGCCCTCCAGGCCTTCCTACCCCCAGGCCCCCAGGGTCTCCTCGACCTCCTCCTCCAGTAACCAGCGCAGCTCTCCGCGTCCTGGGAGCAGCGGGAGCTGCCGGGCGAGGGCCCCTGGCTGAGCGATCCGGGGGTATCCGGGCAGCCGCCCTCCCGGAGGCTGGTCCCCGGGTGGGACCAACACAGAGCGCTGGGACAGGCCCCCGGAGTCCAGGTACCCCACCGTCTTTCCCCCATTCAGATCCTATCTTCCTGCCCCCCTTTCCTTCTAAGGCTCCAGTCTCCCCTTCCTTCCTGGGGCACCGCCTTGACTTGGCCTTCTCCCCACAGCCTCCAGGCCCCCAGCTGCTGGGAGAGGGGAGCGGGCCCCTGCCAAGACCCGAGGCCCAGGCTCTATTTCCAGCCCGGGACGTGCCAGCGGGACCACCAGGTAAAATGCCTTCCCAGTCCCTTCGGTAAGGGTTAGTGTCACTATCTGGGAACTTAATTTTACATGTGAATTGGGGAGTGGGAGCATTTGCAGGTCACTGGGTGCAAGTTGAATGAAAGCCATTATTGGTCCTCAGAGAGGGCATAAATGAGAAATGTAGACTTGGGAGAAAACAAGGAGCTCTGTACTGAGGGCGGCCACTCCTGTCCCTAGGCTAGGCTCTCTTACACAGAAGGGGCTTCGTCCCCCAGCTGAGGAACCCGTGACCAGAGGAAAAGCCCCAGAAACCCCCAGAAGGAGCGCGCTGAGCGCCGGGGCACGGAGAGGTATGTGACTTGGGGAGGAGCGGGGTTCCTGGGCAGTGAAGGGGACGAGTCCTGAAGTATCTCTGACCCTCCCGCCTTCTGCTTTGTCCCCAGATTCTTCTGGGCCCTCCCCAGGTGCCCCTTCCCCAGCCACCTCCCGTCGGTCTCGGGCTGCAGGCGCTGAAGTCGGTCTCCCTCGGGCAGCTCCCAGTGCCCGGCCGCGGCCTCCGACCGAGGCTCCCAGGAAATCAGTGAGCAGTGCCCCGCAGCATGGTACCGCAGAGCCGAGCCCCGCCGCCAGGAGGCGACCCGGCGCCGGCGGAGGCCTCCAGAAGCCAGCCTCGCGCCCCTTGGGCTCCAGCGCCACTCCTCTGTCCTCTCCCGCCCGCCCTGGGGCCTCGCCGGGTGGAACACCTCGGGCTCTGGGGCATCCCTCGCCGCCCAAGACGAAAGGGGTGCAGGTTCTGCACCCCCGCCAGTCCACACCCCCAAGGAAGGGCGCAACCCCTGCGAAGGGTCTTTCTCCTCCTTTAGCCACACCCTCTCCGCCGGGTTCGACCGCACAACTGGCACCGCCTCCCCATATCACAGGCGCTCCCCTGCCTGCCACGCTCCCTCCCTCTCCACCGACCACGCCCCCTTCTCAATCCGCAATCGGCCCTTTGGCCACACCTCTTTCACTAGCCCCTCCTCCATCCGCTCCACTCCCTCCTCAGACCCTCCCCTCTCCGCCGGCCACACCTCCTTTGCAAGACCCACCCACACACCTGGGTACCTCCTTTTTGGAGGCACCTACCTCTCCCACGAACACTTTTCTGGCTTCATTCTCTCCATCATCGTCACCCCCTCTGCAGAGTATGCCCCCAACCCAGGCTTCTCCAGCTTTGCCCCCTCTTCTGACTTCCCCCTCTCCCTTGGCCACATCTCCTTTGTTGGCTCCTGGACCACCAAGCAAGGCCCCACTCCAAGCCCCTCTTACTCAAGCAACATCTCTGCTAAACCCGCCCTCCCCCCAAGCCACACCCCCTCTGCAGGGCCTTTCCACTTTGACTACTACCCCTCCACTGGCCAGTCCTTCCCTATCTCCTCCCTCTCTTGAGGCCACGCCCTATACAATGACCACGCCTCCCACACAGGACACCTCTCCGGCCACATACCCTCTGCAAGCCTCTCCCTGTCCTCTGACCACCCTCTCTTCACAGGGTCCTCCTCCTCTGTGCTCTCCATATCCCTCACCATCTCTGCAGGTTGCACCTTCTGCCCTGGACGTGCCCACTCCACAGACCCCACCTCCTCTGGCCACACCCCATCTACAGGCCACTCCCTCTTCGACCAGGCTCCCTACACAGGCCCCACCTTCTCTGGCCTCGTCACCTCCGCAGGCCCCACCCTCTTTCTTAACCACCGCTCCTCAACAAACTGCAGGGTCTCTGGCCACACCCCCTCTGCAGGCTAGTCCCTCCCCGAGCGTGCTCCCAGTTCAGACCCCACCACCTCTGCAGGCCCCACTCTCTCCGGTATCACCCCCTTTGCATGACTCTTCCTCTCCCTTGGCCATACCCCCTCCCCAGGCTCCACCTTCCCTGGCTTTGCCTCCTCTTCAGGCTCCTCCTTCCTCCCCGCGGGCCCCACCCTCTCCTGTGGCCACGCCCTCCTCCCGGGCCCCACCCTCTCCTGTGGCCACACCCTCTCCGCGGACCCCTCCCTCTCCCCTGGTCACACAGTCTCCGCAGGCTCCACCTTCCCTGGCCTTACCTCCTCTGCAGACCCCGACTCTCCCTTTGCAGGCCACGCCCTCTCCCCTGGCCACGCCTCCTCAGGCTCCACCTTCCCTGGCCTTGCCGCCTCTACAGGCCTCTCCTCTCCCTTTGCAGGCCCCTCCCTCCATGGCTACGCCCCCTCCTCAGACTCCACCTTCCCTGGCTCTGCCCCCTCTGCAAGTTCCTCCCTCTCCCCCGGACTCACCCCCTCTGCAGGCCCCTCGCCGACCCCCGACCCCAGGTCCGGATGTCCCGATCCCGGGCCCACGGCTGACCCTGGCGCTGGCCCCGGCTCCGCCACCACCGCCCTCGCGCAGCCCGTCCAGCACGCTGAGTGGCCCGGATCTGGCGGGCCACAGCAGCAGCGCCACCAGCACGCCGGAAGAGCTGCGCGGCTACGACAGTGGGCCGGAGGGCGGCGCCGCGGCTTCCCCGCCCGCCGACGCGGAGCTCGCCGCCTGTCACCCGGCCTCCTGGAGCCGAGGTCCCGCTCCGCCGCTGGCCATCCGCAGCACCCCAGGTAAGCGGCCCGTGGATCCCGCCGAGCTGTGGGAGGGGCCAGGTTGGAGGGGGGCGGGGTGGGAGGCCAGGGTGTCCAGCTCGCGGTCAGGACACTTGGGTCTGGGGCTGGACGGAGGCGAGGGGCGGGGCCTTGTGGCGGGAGCCGCGCTTCCCGCCCGGTAGGCCCAGCCTGGCATCTCTCCTCGCAGGAGCGTCCCTGCCTTGGCCTCCCGCTGCCGGCTCGGGCTCCGCTGATGGCCTGTGCACCATCTACGAGGCTGAGGGGCCCGAGTCGGCGCCCCCCGCCCCAGGCGCGCTGGATGCGGGTCCCGGCGCCGGCGCGGGTAGCGGGAAGGTGGTAGCTGGAGCAGGCGCGGCGGCGGCCTCGCGTGGCGCGAAGCCGGCGCGCCTGGGCGAGCTGCCGCTGGGGGCGCTGCAGGCGAGCGTCGTGCAGCACCTGCTGAGCCGGACGCTGCTGCTAGCTGCGGCGGAGGGTGCTGCCGGCGGTGGCGGCCCAGGAGGCGCGGGAGCTGGTGGCGTCGCGGGGGGCGCCCGGACTGCGCTCAGCGAAGCCGAACTGGGCCGCTGGGCTGAACTGTTGTCTCCCCTGGACGAGTCCCGCGCCAGCATCACCTCGGTCACCAGCTTCTCCCCGGACGACGTGGCTTCCCCCCAGGGTGACTGGACGGTGGTGGAGGTGGAGACCTTCCACTGAGCCAGACCCTTAGCCCCGCCCACGACACTCCTTCTCTCTGGTTATGCCTCTCTGTCTCAGGCTGCCCGGCTGCCCTCTTCCGGGAATCTGGCTCCCGGTGGATTGGACGTAGCCCCTGGAGGCCTAGATTTGGGTCCAGGCTCGCGTCCCACCTACGCCTCTGGCCAAGGTCTTCCCCCTCGAGCCCGGCCCGGTGTCCTGGACTCCCTCCGGCTCCCCTTGAGCCCTGCCCCGTCCCTGGTAGGCCCCACCCCATGTCCTGAGTATTGTCTACTACGTGCTCCCCGAGTTTGCAATAAAGGCGGGACCCTGCAGCCTGTGCGCCTCGCGGTCGCCGGCGGGGGAGGGGGTGGTCCACCGCGGGGCGGCGGGAGGGGCAGGGCACGAGCGGGTAGTAGCTCTGGCTGAAGGTCTCTAGCACACAACGCAGTGGTGCTTTTTCTCTGTTAAGGCGCGGGCGCTGAGTTAGGGCTGGGCTGGGACCTGGTGCTGCTGAGTCCCCGCGGTCCAGCGCGGCGCCCCCACGCACGTGCGTGGGCCTGGGCTTTTTTCCTGGGAGATTTGCGGTGGGAACATTAGGCGCAGAAGCGGCCCATTGATACTGCGAGATCCAGTGCATGAGTGATGCGTGCCGGGCGTGGTTGAACTACCGAAACTCTTCCTACACTCCCCTAAGGGAGCCGGCATCTCTTGCCGAGAGGAGAAAAACGTGGGAATGGCTCTTCCAGGTCTGGGACGAGGGCAAGGCGTCCCTTCCTGAGGCCTCCTTCTCACAGTGCGCGCCGGGAGTGCCCAAGGGAGGGAGGGGTTGCTGAAGACCTGAGGGCGATCTTGGCTCTCCTGCGCTCTCCCAGCCCAACCCAATCCAGGGCGCACTGCACTCTGCTCAGTGAGGAGGTTCCATCGCAGAAGGTAGGTCTGCAGGTGGGCCCTGGACCCCTTAAGAAGGCCTGGTGTAGAGTACAGGGTCCTCCTGGGTCAGGCGGCACGGAGGATTCCTTGCCCCTGCCAGCCCGCTGTGCAGAGAGGGTTCTGCGGGGAAGGAGCAGCCTCTCCCCAAGGCTGGGTGGGAGACCAAGAAACCTTCACATTGCCTCTCCCTCCCCACGTGCTCTCACCACGCCCCTTTGTGCCTCCCAACGCATGGGCCTCCCCTTTCCCTCCATCTCAGGATGCCCTCCTCAAGCCCCTCCAGCCAGGCATCCTTGCCTGTGCCCACAGCAAGGGTCCTCAACAAAGTCAGTCTGTTTTCACCTGCCTCCCTATCAGAATTTCTTGTCCTTCCTCTCGTAGCTGAGTCACCCTGACCCTGGACTCCTCGACCCCCACCCAGGCCCTTCTTCCCAAGTAGTGGGGCCAAAAATTCGGCCCCCGGGCCTTTTCTCCCTGAGGGTCTCCTGTGTTATGGCAAGTATGATGCAGGCCTGGTGGGGACCACAAACGGGGCAGGTAAACGGACAGAGCAGGACCATGTTCGACCCTCAGCCCGGTCTCTGCCCCCAGACCCAGTCCCTGGAGTCCTAGTACAAAATCTACCTTCTCCCAGTGGGACGGTGCACCTCTGCCCCTGGGGGCCAATGTATATGGGGGGGGGGCAGGCTGCTCCCTCACTCAAGATTGGAGTTCAATGGCAAACCAGAGGGCCCTGCAAGGACCCAGGTGTCCTTGTTTCCAGATGTAGGGGCTGAATCCTGACGTGCTGGGCAGCCAGGGCATCAAGACCAGCCCCTGAGATGGAGCAGGGCAGAACCTCAGACATTCCCCCCTGGGGCCCTGCCCCTTCCTGGGGAGCCAGCTGGGGTAGAATTACCCGTGGGAGCAGAAGAGACAGCAACTGTTGGGGCTCTCAGTGTTCAATCTGTATGATGGGAATGGTGTGGGGACACACACCATGGCTGGGCAGTGGGTCAGTGCGTGGGACTTGGCCGTCCTGGTGCAGAACCAACCTTGCTGCCGGCAGGTATCAGGCCACTGTGGGTGGGGACACTTCGGGTGCAGAGGGCAGGGCCTGGCTGGCATCTGCCTGAACCCAACTAAGATTCTCCTCCTGGGAAGCCTTCCTTTGCCATCCCTGACTCTCCTGCTACTCATACCCCCAACTCTGCCTCAGCTCCATGGGGAACCCCACAAAGGGCTCTGCCTCTTTGGGCCTCCTTACCTCAGGGGAGCCCCTACTCACTGTCCCTACTGCCCAGCTGTTGGGGTTCTGTCCTGACCTCCCAACCCCCAACACTGTGGTCCATCTGATGGTGCCCCCTCTTCCACCTAAGCTCTCCATGGCTCCCCGGTGCCCTCAGTTCAGAGGACAAATTCTGGTTCCCAAACCGATTCTCAGTCTGGCCCTGCCCACTTCCTTCTTCAATGGCATCCTGCGCCTCCTGCTGACCTGCCAAGTCTTGCTCTCTGCTTTTGTCTTTGGAGAGGACTCCACCTCCCACCCCCACCTTCCAGGAAGCCTTCCTTGGTTCTTTTGACCCCACTAGTCAGCAGGCTCAGTTCCCAGTCCCACGCCATTGTCTCTACTACACTGGGGACTCCTCAGCCGGGTGCAGGGCAGAGGACCCCGAAGGTCTCCGGAAGTGTGAGCAGAATGAACACCAACCAGATCCCGCATCTTCCTGAAGACTTGTGCCCCCACATTCCTCCAGGTCTCTCAGGGGAGGCACAGGCTAACTTGCCCGGGTGAAAAATCATGCCTCCCACCCAATACCTCCTCACTCCCACCATCTGCAGAGCCACCCTTTTGAAAATGGGCATGCCGTAACAGTCCATGTGTCAGCCTGACATATGAAGACCTTTGTGACTTGTCCCCCCATCAGATCCCCAACCCCCAACCTTTTGTTCACATGGAACCAGCGCCTGCCCTTTTCTCTCCCATGCTGCCCGCCCCCCCCCCCCCCGGACTGGGCAGCCTCTTTGGTATCCCTGCTGGCCTGCTGGGCCCCCTACCTCTGATTCCCTTAGACCGTGGGAGGCTCCCATAGGCAAGGACCGTCTGGTCCCCTTGGCACCGCTTTTTGGGACAAGGAGCTGGGGACTCACAGCTGCTCGCTGTTCCCCCAGGCGTGCTGTGCCCTTGTCTGTGACTGTGTAAATACACTTTATTTTCCATCTTTCCCGCCTGGGTGACATGTGGAGTGTGAACAGGCAGTGTGCAAAATGGTGGTGGGCAGTGTGGGGGGCACATGGAGAGCCCCTCGGATGCCCATCCTGGTCCCCGGGCTTTGTTAACACTGAGGAGCGGGCGACCGGAAAGGGGTAACTGGGCATGGATCCCCACCCCAGGAAGCGCCAGGGAGATTGCTTTTGACGCTGCTCCAGGCTCCAGGAGCACCGACAGGGTCAGGCCCGAAGGTCACAAGGCCCTGGGGGCAAGGGGCTGGGGGTATCGTTGGACTTTGGCACCGTTCTCGGCTCTGACTCTGCAGAGACCACGGGACCACCGTGAGCAGCCGAGGGGAGGTAACGCCGCTGGAAAGGCTCCTCCCCCTGGGGCCTGGCCTTGGCCAAAGGGTGAGGCTGGGGACACCGGAAAGGTAGAAGGGATGGGGAGGCTGGGAACCACTTGGAGAGCAGGCTAGCTTGGGTGGGGGAGCCCCTCCATCATTGGCCAAGACAAGGTGATGGGAGTGTCCCAAAAGGAAGATGTGGGGTGCTGGGGAAAGGGGGTCTCTTCACTTCCTTGCAGCTGCTCTGGCCCCCAAGAAGCAGGGACAGACACTGCCCAGGTCTGGGCTGGTTCCTGCTGTCCACTCGCACCCCGGCTGGCCCTGCGTACAGTAGGGGGGACTTTGGTTTCTGCTGCAGGGGCCATGATGCCCGCACCAGTCAGGAAAGCCCAGCCTGGCCATCTGTGCCCAGCCGCCAACGGTCCCCAGGGGCATCACTGGGTGGTGACGTCCAGCCCAGAGCAGCCCCTTCTTCCTTAGGCCTCCTTTAGCTCCAGGGCCCTTCCCAGCAGGGCCACCCTTGTCCCAGAAGAGAGACTGCTGGGAGGAGGGAGCTTCCTGCTCATCCAGTCCTGGGACCTCTGGGTCATTCCCTGCCCTGGCTGTTAAGAGGGGCAGACCCTCCAGGGAGCCGGGCTGGACGGGTACAGACCAAGATGGGTAAACACTGCTGGGGAGAGTAGGCCTGCTGGGGGGACCCTGAGGATCCTCAGACCGCGGCCCTACCCTCTGCGCCCCGCTGCTCTGGGCCGAGCCCTCGGGTGGGTGGGACCACGGAGGGCGTGGAGTTCATCAGGTGGGGGCCCCCCTGGCTCCAGCACGCAGAGCACGGATGGCCTCAGTTGTCCAGGCCCTGGCTGTAGGGCGCGGTCAGCTCATCCGCGTCGCTGTCTGAGCTGCCCTCGCTGTCCTTGGCCGGCCGCTCCAGTCGACGAAAGAAGCGCGCGTCGCGCGGGGACAGCGGGTAGAGCGCGTCCTGCAGCGCCGCGCCCACGCCCACGCCCACGCCCACGCCCACGCCCACCCCGAGCAGCTCCTCGTCCGACGACGGCAGCGAGTCCTCATCCAGGTGCCGCGCCAGGCCCAGCCCGTCGAAGGCCAGCGGGTCCTCGAAGGGCGGCGGGCCCTTCAGCAGCCGCACCTGGGGCGGGGAACCCGTGCGCTGAAGGCCCGCCCCGCCGCGCCCCAGCGGACAGAACCTGGCCGCCCCGCCGCTCCTCCCGCCACCCCGCCGCCCTCCCCGCCGGCGCCGCCCGCCCCTGCCCCGCGGGGGCACACGCAGGGCTTCCGCCCCTCCCGCGGCCAGCCTGCGCTCACCTCCGCCTTCAGCTCCTCGATCTGGTCCTTGAGTTCGCGGATGTACTGCGACGAGTCCGAGTGGTTCAGTTGGCCCTGGATGCGGCCCTCCTCCCTCTGCGGGGCGGTCCAGGTCACCGCGGGTCAGCGCAGGGCCCGCCCCCGGGCCCGCCCCCCGCCCCGGCCCCGCCGCTCACCTGGATCTCCAGCTCGGCGATGCGCTGGCGCATCTCGGCCACCGCCGCCATGCTGTCCGCCTCCCGCAGGCGCACGGCCATCACCTCCTCCTTGCTCTGGGGGCAGAGGGAGCGAGGGCGGGTCAAGGGGCGCGGCGCGCCGGGGGCCGGGCCGGGGCGGCGGGCGGGGGCGCACCTTGCACTCGGCCTCGGCCTGCTTGCGGCGGCTCTCGCTGAGCTGCGTCTGCAGCCCCTTGTTCTGCGCCGCCAGGTACTGCAGCTTCTCCTGCAGCGCCGCGCGCTCCGCCTCCACGCGGTTCAGCAGGTTGCGGTGGATGTGGTCCTGGGGGCGGGCGGGCGGGCGTCACCGCCTGGTCCCCGCGCGGGCCACCCGCCCCGCCTGCCCCACCCCCTGCGAGGGGCGCGGGCGCCCGGGCGCGCGGGCCCACCTGCGTCTCGAGTTCCACCACGCGCTGCCGCAGCTCGCGACCCTCGGCCAGGGCCTGGGCCTCGCGCAGGCGCACGCTCATCAGCTCGTCCTGCAGCTCGCCCAGGACCAGCTTCCGGGGGGACTCCTTCCAGCGGCCGCCGCGGGACAGGTGGGCCTGCGGGGAGAGGGGGGCGGTCCGTCTGCAGCCGCGAGGGCCGCGCGGGCCGCTCCGTGCGCGCCGGGCTGGGGCCCTCACCTGCCAGGTGTCCGAGAGCTCCTGCAGCTGCAGCTTCAGCTCCCGCGCCGAGGCCACGGCCTCGCCCTCCCGCACCTTGACCGCCTTCAGCTCCTCCTGCAGCCGCGCCACGTTGTTCTCGTCCGGCAGCGAGCTGTTCCTCTGCGGGGCGAAAGGAGGTCAGATCCCGGGGCAGCTGAGGCCGGGCGGCCCCGACCGAGACCCCTCCGTCACGTCTCCTCTGAGCCCCACCTTGGGCACCCCGCGGGGAGACCGTGCCCCGGGCACCCCAGGAGACACCCGTGCGGCCCCGGGGAGAGAGCCTCAGAAGGTTCGGCCTGCGGAAGGGGTGTGGAGAGCGCCTGCTCTCACTGGACTGTCTCAGGGTGACCCCCTGACGCCGGCTTCTGGGTGGACGTTACTGCTAATAACACCAGGCAGGCTGGGCAAGGGTGGGCGCCTCCCATCCTGGGAACCTGCGATCCGCCCCCTGCGGCCCCTGATCACACTTGGGACCTGCCCCAGCGGCAGCTGAGACCATGGGTGGCCCCTCCCTGTAGATGCTCCTTGCCCCGCCAGACCCCAGGCTAGGCAGCCCCTCCCTCGGGAACAGGCTGAGGGCCAGCTTAGGCCCGGCCTCCAGCGTTCCAAGGGCTCAGTGATGAGGGACTGTGCTCCAGCCAGATCGGAATCTGGCTTGCTACTGGGGGTCCTCACTGACCCTTGTTTGAGTGTGGGAGTTGTTGGGGGTGGTGTTGGGGGCAGGGTCTCCTGGGCTTATTTCCCTTTGATGTGGAGGCAGGTGGGAGGGAAACCCAGCTCTGGGCCGGCTGATGGGGACTGAGAAGCCCATGGATGGGGCAGAGACACCCCACCTGGAAGGGCACCCCAAATATGGCAGGCTTGAGAGGAGGGAGGTCTAGTTCCTGCCTTGTGTGAGTGGGTCCTGCTGCCCCCTGCTGGCCGGGGCACCTCTCTTCCAGAGGCTTTGCAGGAGCTGAGTCAATAGGGAGTCGGGACAGCAGTTGAGCTCTGCCCAGGAGGTCTGGGGCCCCCTTCAGGATAGCAGGCTCCAGGAGAGGGTGGTCCCAGTACAACCCCTGGGTGGTATCTCTCTGGGGGTGGGGAAGGGGAGAGCAACCCTGATGGGCCTTGGCCTTCCCTCCCAACTCCATCCCCGATCCCAGGGAGGGAGACACACACACACAGGTGGGGCTGTCTGCCCAGGAAGCCCATGGACGCCACCACACCGCTGGCCTGGGGCACGAGGGTAGGTGTGCCCCTTGAGGAGTCATTCTGCTTTGCGTGTGCCCTGACATGTGTGTGCATCTCTGGGGCTTGGCAGGGTCTGTGGTGAGGGGCCCAACTCCCCATAGGCCCAGAACCTTGCGGGCGAGCATGGGGGAGGAAGCAGGGCACCAGAGGGTCAGGGAGGCTCTCTAGGTTCCTTGGGAAGCCGCAGGGCAGGGGCTGGTCTGAGGCGCCCTGCTGGTCTTCCTGGTCACCTCTTCCTGACCAGGGCCTGGCCACACGCCTCCCACAGTGCAGCCGGCACCTCTGCTTCCCCTTTCCCGTCGTTCCCCGGATAGCCACCCACTTGCCCACCCAGTCGCACCTTCTCCATGTCCAGAACCTTGTCCTGCATCTCACGCAGAGCCCCCAGCGTCTCCGTCTCCCGCAGCCTCGACTGCTCCAGCTCGGTCTCCAGGTGGGCCACGAAGTCCTCAGTGAGGCGCGGGTTGTCCTGGGGGGCAGGCAGAAGGCTGTGCTGGGCCCCAGGCTGCCGCTGAAGGATAAGCAAGTCTTCCGGCCAGCTGGCTGTGGGCCCGGGCCTTGCCCCCGCCCCCCAGAGTCCCCGGGCTGGCAGAGGGCCTCAGGCTGCAGGTAGACACGGGTGGAAGGTGAGGAGAAGCCCTGGATCCCCTTCCTGTGCCTTCTGACCTTGTGGGGAGAGAGCCCAACCCCATCATGGGGGTTCTGATGCTCCGTGCCTAGGAGTGGCCTGGCTTAGCCTCTTTCCTGGGAAAGCCACAATGAAGGGACCTTCTGAAGGGGTCTTTCCAGGGTCTCAGGCTGCCCCCAGAGGGATGCCAGTGGCTGGTTCCCAGGATTGGGCACCCTTCTCCCTCTGTGGTCGGTGTCAAACCACACAGTGGGGATGGGAGCGGGGTGGGGCTCAGGGCTGTGGCACTCCTGCCCCCCTTTCTCCACCTCCCTCCTCTCATTGGACCCCCATTTCAAAACAGGAAGGCATGGGGAAAGTCTGCTGGGATCCCTTTCTTGTTCAGTGCCCAGAAGGTACCCCGTGGGGGCCCGGGGAGGGGGGTGCGTGCGGACAACGACAAGAGCTTTGCTCAAGACAACGAAGACCTGGCTGGTGGGTGAGGGAGGCCCCTTAAAGGCTGGAGCTCAGGGGGCGGCATGGGAAGGTCTCCCTGGCCTGGAAGCGGGCATCGCGCCAGGGTTGGGATGAGCCCAACCTTGGTTTCCCCATGGGCCATGCCGCCGCTGGCAGGTTATCAAATAAGGAAGGTGGCCTGGGTGCAGCTGAAGGAAAATCCCGAATCCACGTGCTGGAGAAGTGGGATCTTCAGAGTGCTCTGGCCTGAGGGCCCGCCTCCCAGGATGCAGAGGTCCTGACTCCACAGCACAACCCGGGCCGCCCCCACACCCCCACTCTGCCAGCTGAGAGTGGTGGGCACAGACCAGACCCTCTTCTGGGGGCAAAGTGCTGGGCTCTGGAGTGGGAAGCCCCCCCCACCGTCTCTCATGCTAGCTCCAACCCTGCATAGCCGGCTCCTGGGGAAGGCTGACAGCCCTGGGGACACTCCAGGGCTCCCCTAAGGAATCACAGCCACATCAGCTGAAGGAGGGGACCTTGCAGGTAGAGCCTGGGTCCCAGGACGCCTCACGGACTGGGGGGAGATGGAAACCCCAGGATTCCCCAACCTGGGGGTGGGGCCGCTTCCTTGGAGGGGGGCAGAATCTGCACTCCCTCTGGGTTTCTCCTCCCCTCCCCTGCCCCTCCCAGGACGTAGGGGGCTGATCCGGAGAGCAGGAGCGGTGCTGTGGGGTGCAGCCCCCCACCCGCCGGGTACCTGCTGCTCCTGGAGCTGCCGGATGGTGCTCTGGGCCTTCTGCAGGTCCTCGGCCGCCGAGCTGCACTGCTGCCGCACCACTGCCAGCTCCCGCTTGATGACGTAGTTCTCCTCGGCCTCCTGCGCCCGCGTCACCTGCCCCTGAGCATAGGGAGGACGGGGACACCGTGACCCTCTGCTCACACTCCAGGCCCTCCCTCTGGCCCGCCTCTTGGGAGGCCCCTAGAGGGTGGTCGTGGGGTGGGACAAGGGCAAGGCCTCCTGCACTCAGAGCCTGGGATGGGGCGCCCCACTGGGTCTGGGCCTGTGGGGTTGGGGGGGGCGCACAGGCAGGAACAGGACACAGGGAGGAACCTTAGGGCACACACCCACCCCAGGCCCAGGCTCTGTGGGGCTGAAATGGAGAACGGGGACCCCAGGCTGGGGCCGAGGCCAGCTTTTTCCCCTACTGGCTCCCGGCTCTCAGCCTCTGTCCCAGGTGAGGAGAAACCATCCTTATTTAGGACTGAGGCACAGCAGAGGCCGGGCTTCCCTGGCAAAGGTGGGGGTCTGGAGGCAGTGGAGGGCCCAGGGACTCAGGACCAATCCCTTAGGGCAGGGTTGGGAGGCGGAGCACAGCTCTTCTGGAACCTTCTCCAGTCCTGAATCCTGGGGCCTCCATCTACCTGGGGCTAAGACCTCCCCCTACCTCATCCCCTCAACCCGCCCGATCCGGGTCCCCCCATTCCAGGCTCGGAGCCACCAGGTGGCGGGCAGAAGCTTCCAGATAAAGCCATTCAAGATGAGGCAGCAGCAGAAGCAGGTGAGAGAAGATGGCAGGCCTTGCAGGTAGGAGCGGTGAAGGGCCAGAGGTGTGTGTGTGTGTGTGTGTGTGTGTGTGTGTGTGTGAGAGAGAGGCTCAGTGCAGTGCACACATCAGGGCCTGTGGCTGACAGAGCCTTGGGGTCCCCACCCGTGTCCCCTGGAAGGAGGAGGCTTTCTGTCCTCGTGCGTGTACAGACAGTCACAGACAGACTCACACTTACCCCCCACACCATGCTTTCACACGCACACCCCTCCTTCCCCCCTCAGGAAATCTCTGTCTCCCCTGAGAAGCGGTCTCCAGCCACCCCCATGCATGGTGCCAAGCCTGCCCCCTTCTGCCCACCCCCACCCCGGGTTGGCAACGGCCAGGGAAGAGGTGGGTCCTGGCTGTGGTGTGCAGGGACCAGGAGGGACATGGGCGGGGGGGACAAAGAGCTACAGTACCTGGATTAACCTATCAGCCAGAGCAGCGCTCTCCTACCCGGCGGAGGGGGTTCCGAGCGACAGGGGGAGGAGGCAGAGCGGAAGGCGCAGGGACAGGAGAGGGGGAGAGACAGACAAGAACCACTTGTCACTAACACGCAGTGGACTATCTCTAGAAGCAGGGGAGAGAGGAGTGAGACCAGAGAACCAAAGAACCAGCAGGAGAGGACCCGGAGGAAGAGCAAAGCCAGAGCTAGCTCCGTCCTGGAGAGGGACGTGTGTGTCTGGGCAGGTGGGGCTGCCGTTCTGGGAGGCTGTGGAATGGGGTGGTGGCAGTGATGGGGGGGCAGAATATTTTAACTTGGAGTCGGAATAAGAATCAAGGCTTTGGCGCAAGAATCGAGGCCCCCCTGTGGGCAGTGGGGGCGCCGAGTGGGAGTTGGAGAGGAGAGGCAAGTGGGGTCCCTCTCCCCACCTTTACTCCCATCTTTAAAAACAGGATGGGGGCCAGGGTCAAGGTTGTGGCACCCCCCACCCCCACTGCACAGCGCCAGTGTAAGGCCGCCCCTCCTCTACCTCCTTTCTTTCCAGGGTGAGGCCTCCAAATTACAGGGTTGGGAGCCTGTGGCCTAATTCGGGGCACCCCGGTCAAAGCAGCAGTCTGCCTTCTTCCCCCCTACACAGGCAGCCCTGGAGGGACCCGTGTTTACAGTTAACTGGGTTGTAATTTCACACCCAATCCCAAGCAAAGCTGCCCTATGCCCCTGGTTCTGCGGCAGCCCAGATCTCAGCGGGGCTCTTGGTGGGGGGCCACTGGTTCGGGGTGGGGTCCGGGCAGGGGGCTGGCTGGCCCTCTGGCTGCTGGGTCCTGCTTGGGACCTGCGGGAGTTGGTGCCCCAGGCTGGTGGCCGCACTCCTCACCTTTTCCAGGGTCTCGATCCGTTGTTTCAGGAGCCGGTTCTCCGTCCGAAGCCTCTATGTAGGGAGAGGGGGGGAGTGTGTCAGAAGCCCACTCCCACTCCCATACAGACAGAAGTCGTTCCCTTAAGGGCCAGGCTGCCTCCAGACAAGACAGCCATCATCGAATGCTCTGGGGAAGGCATCCCAGAAAACAGGGCCAATTCCCGTTCAGCATGGCCTGTTCGATTTTTTTTTTTTTTAAACAAACTTTGGTTCATTTAAAGTGATCGCTTTCATGGGTATGCACTTGTGTGTCAGGGGTCAGCCATCAGCACCCTTGCCTTCCTGGGGAGTCTCCTGGGAGCCCATGCTGGGGCCTGTCTGAGGCCAATGTGATGCTTCCTACAAGGGCAGGCCTTTCTCTGGCCTGTCTGTTCCCACCCCTCACTGCTTCGCTTCCAGCACCAGAATAAACTGTCCTCAGAGTCAGGATCCCGGGGAGGGGGTCTTGATGAATCCACGGGCCTCCTTGAGCTGGACGGCTATGTTTCTGTGACCCACCAAAAGTCAGGGGACTCAGAAGCCGTCACTTCCCTCCGGTGGGGGTTCTACAGGCCTCTTGCTTTGCTCTTCACCTTCTCCCCTGGACTGATGGGTTTGGGTTAGATATTTGTGGTTTTAAGTTCCCCATGGCCTTTGGGAAGCAAAGTGAGGTTTATATACGCCTCGCATCTTAGTCTCTACTTATGTTCCCTTTAAGGAGTGGGTGCAGATGGTTGGATCTTAAGTGTGTTCTGAACGAAGACCAACCAGACCCTCCATCTTCCTGAAGCCCCGAGACCCCGCATTCATCCATTATTAATGAGGGAGCTGCCTCTCTGTGGGCCACACATTTTCCGGATTTTTCCAGGAAGAAGAAGGTGATGGAAACACCCAGAACACTCCCGGGAAGCATCTGCAGTCAGAGAATCACAGATGTGATTCACAGTCATTCACCGATGTCATGCATGGGGAAACTGAGTCAGAGGGGGGCAGTGTCTTGTCTGAGCCCCCCAGCTTGCCTGGGTTAGAGGTGTTTCAGGCACAAGTCTCTGCCCCACATCTGGAATCAGGAGTCCGGATCTCTTGGAGGGCTCTTGCCCCATCTCTGGGCTTGACCCATCACTCCGTAAGCATAGAGATCCTCGAGAAGTTGGATGTGGCCAAGTAACAACTCCCCTCTCCCACTTACTCCAAAGAGAAAATGAGACAAGGAGTGAGCAAGAACTACAGGGTCTAAGTATACATCAGGCTTTTTTTTTTTCTTCTGTGTTTTTGAGGCTCTGACATCTAGCCACCCGGCCGGTCTTGGAGAGACTGCCCCGCCGAGGACTGGCTAGTTCCTAGACACAGCAAACCAGTAGGAGTGTGCCTTTCAGATGCAAACCAGCCAAACCAGTGCCTACACCCACCTACCTCTCACTCATGCCATCCTGCCCAATGTTCTCTCTGCCTTAAATTGCCCCCAAGACAACGAGGGACCCCCTGTAGACTCCCAGCTCCCAGCTTCAAAGGAACCAATCCTTAACTCAAACTCGACTACCCAGCCTTGCTCATTCTTTTCTGTGGAGACCACAATAAAGGCTCTGGCCCATGCTTTGCCCCTCTCGCCGTCTGCCTCCGGACCCACTCTGATGCTTCCCCATGTTGCCAAGCATGGTGGGGTGTGCCCCCTCCCTTTGGGAACTGTGAGTAATAAACTCTTCCTTCAAAGGCAGTCTCTGTATTGTCTCCATGTCTGTCACTTTGCCACACCTGGTTAAAGCAAATTCCAGGTACATTTTGAAATAGGCTGTAAGGGAAAGAGCAAAGGGCAGGGCTATGGGACAAGGCATCTGCCTGCATCCTTTAAGCACGTGGGTTCTCAGGCTCCTCTCAGGAGAAGTTTCCAGGTGGGGCACGTAGTCTGAGTGTCTGCTGTGTCCCTACCTACTGCTGGGTCCTCACTGTCACCAGATGGGGGCAGGCACATGACTGTGAATGAGCAGGACAGGCACATACGTTTGGACTGTGCATCAGTCAAGCCACCATTTCTGAGAAAGGGGAACGCCTGCAAACTCAGGATACAAAACTACTTCTGAAAAACCTACAAACGGGGCCAGGACACAGATGGTCTCTTTCCCCTTCAGGTATGGGTGGCAGGTAACCTGACTCCTAATCTAGATTCTGCCTCTCCCTTTCTAGAAACTTTTTTTTTTTTTTTTAAAGATTTTATTTACTTATGAGGGAGAGAGAGCAAGAGCAGGGGGAGTGGCAAGCAGAGGGAGAAGCAGACTTCCCACTGAGCAGGGAGCCCGATATGGGACTCGATCCCAGGCCCCTGCGATCATGACCTGAGCTGAAGGCAGATGTGTAACTGACTGAGCCCCCCAGGTGCCCCTCCCTCTCTAAAGGAGGTGGAGATGTTGATAGTGGTGATGGTAACAAAAATAGAAATAATAATAATTTGAACAGCAGAGCAAATCTTATCCCCATTTTGCAGAAGGGGACACTGAGACTCAAAGAGGTGAATCTTCCTGGTCCATGGTAGAGTTGGGATTTGAATCCTGGTCTGTAGGACTCTAGTCCCAGCCTCTGTGGGGCTCTGTCCCTGAAGAGGACAAAGCCAGGGTTTATGTATTTGTGTCTGTTCCTCTCACTGGACCCGGGGGGGGGGGCTCAGTCTCCTATGACTCTGGTACACAGTAGGTGCTCAATAAATGCTTGTTGCATGAATAAGTAAAATCACGTGTGTAAGGGTGAAAGCAGAAAGGAGAGGGAGGAGAGTCTGGAGGGTCGGAGGGGTCACAGTGGGTGGGGAGCCCTGTCACACCTGGCTCCTGTCTGCCCCTGACCCCAGGGCTCCGCCCACCGAGGCAGCCTTCCTGACATTCCTCGAGTCCATCAGGCCTGCCGCAGCTTGGCCTTTTGCACTGACTCTGTGGGCCTGGAGCGATCGTCCCTGGGGTCAGCTCCACCTCTCTCCTGCATGTTTTTATCCAGAGTACTTTCTGGAGTCCATACTCTGTACCTATGTGTTCCCCGACCATCTCCCCATTGTAACTGGGGGGTCTCATGAGGGCAGGGACCTATCCACCTTCTCTGCCCCACCAGCCCTGTGACGGGTCTCCAGCAGCAGGGTGGGCCCTGCTGCTGGTTGAAGGGACAGGCGGGCAGAGGGAGGACGCCTCAGATTTTGAGGACAGGCTGGCTTGTGGCCTGGGCAAGGCTGCGTCCCAAGGGCATCCTGTCGCTGTTGCCCCACCTCCCTGGGGACTCACTTTGATCTCGATCTGCTCCTCCATCTCCTTGCTCTTCATGGCTGCGTACTCCTTCTCCAGCCTGCAGACGGGAGGGCTGCTGTGGTCACCATCCCACTCTCGGGGACCCCGTTCTGCCAGCACCCTGGCCTCCCAGTACTGACCTCTTCATCTTCTTGGGGTTGTACTTGACCTGGTAAGCCTTGAGGACCAGCTTGTCCGGGCAGCTGTCGAACTGGTGGGGGATCACCCTCTGGAAGTACTGTGGGGGGTGGGCACAGGCCGTCCTTGACACATAGGCCCTGACTCGCAGGAGGGGTGGCCAGAGCCCTGCTGTACCCCGCTTCCCTGCAGGAGGAGCCGGTCTGCCAGGGGCATCACGTCCCAGCTCAGGGCCCAGCCTGCAGTGGGCGCTTTGTCAGCGCATGTGGAACAAGTGAGTGCGCAGGGTGTGGGGGGGAGCAAGTGCCTGCAGTTGGGACTGCCTTCTGCCCCGGAAAGCAGGGCTTCAGCAGCTCCTGCGGCCGGCCGGAGGCTGGGTGGCGGTGGGCCTTTTGCAGAGGAAGGGGGTCCTATCACTTACCCAGGGCAGGGAGAGGAGGAATCAGGGCCATGAGAGCAAGCTGGAGGGAAGACCCCTTGGTGGCCGGCCTGTCTGCCTGGGCCCAGGGAGCCCCGGCGAAGGGTTAAGCACTGGCGCCGATGGAGGACACAGCTCGTTGCGGTTCAGGGCCAGGCCGGCTCCCGCCACCCAGCCCAGCTGGCCCCTCTGGCAGCTGCACACAATGGATGCCCGTGTTCACGGACACAGCCGTGGCCTTTGTGCATTCTTCCCTGAAGCACCAGCTGGAAGATGCTGGGAGGGGAAGGGGCCTGCCTGATGGGGATATGGCGGCAAAGCAGGCTGGCCTCCTCTCCAGCGGGCAGGGCGGGCGTGAAGCTGCCCCAGGCCCCTCACTCCCGCCCGTTGCTCTCACCTGGCCCAGTTGCCGGGGCTGAAACCACACCCAAGGCCTTGCGGTCTGGCTACTATCACTCTTTGCCCCCTTAGACTTTGGAGGACCCAGAGCTGGGAGCAGGAAGGGGGTGGTGGGACCTCCCGGGCCTTGGCCCAAGCCTGGGCCTTCCACCATTTCCCCTTGACCCCCTAGTAGCCAGGTTGCTCCTCAGAGCCCGCCTCGTCCTCCAGGAAGTCCTCAGGGAAGCACGGGACAGGGGCAGATGTTCAGGAACACCTTCTGCCCTTGCGACCAGGCCCTTCCCCATCTCTCAGGAGGACTTCACCTGCCCGGGTACCCCTGGTGTAAGGGAATCCCACCCACCCCGGCCCTCCTGGCCCACCTGGGACATCCCCTCCATGTCCAGCTGCATCAGCTCTGTCTGGTTCACCTGCAGCAGGGCGAGGCCCACCCGGAACACAATCTCCAGGCCCTGCAAAGGGGATGATGGCAGCGAGTCTCAGGTCCTGCTCTCCCGGGGCGGGCGGTTGGGGGGCTGGGAGGAGGTCTCTGATCCCCCCTTCTCCCCCAAGCCCTGGCCCATCCTTAGCCTGGGCCTGGCTGGGATTTGTTTCCCATGTCAGGTATCTGGGAGAGGAAGGGGTGTTTGGGGTCCTCACCTCGTACATGAAGATGTCAAAGACACGGGTGGCAACGGGGAGCGGGAAGGTAGTCAGGAAGAGTGTGAGAAACCAGGACGAGGCGTACATGGACGTGTGGAAGCTCTGGGAGCGGAAGTGGGTGTTCAGATCCGGGAGCTGCTCCTGGGGTGAGGGGGTGGGAGGAGGAGGCCAGGCACCGTGAGGAGGCTGTGGGCACAGCAGGCCCCCTCCACCCACAAGTGTGGGGGCTCGGTGCCCCGGTCTCCAGGGAGACTTCCTGGCCTGCCCCGGGCAGCCTGTGGCTCCCTTCCTCTGTGCGCCCTTGGCACTGTGTTTGGGTGAGGCTGAAGCACCGGAGAGCTCTGAGCGGCAGGAGGGGAGGTAGGGAAACAGGCAGGGGCGGCACTAGCAGCAGCAGCTGGTGGGGAGGGGCTGAGTACACACGGGGAGCCTGCGCTGGCACAGTTGCTTATGGGATCCCCACCACTGCCTCAAGAGGGAGCTTCTAAGGCTCGGGGTGGGGGAGGAGGAGGGTTATGTGGTCATGTCACTCCCCCAGCTCACCCAGACAGCGAGGGTGGGGTGGGGTGTGAGCTCAGTGCAGCTCACCCCCTATTGTGTGACCTGCCATTGCTGTGCCCACCCACAGCCCCGCTCCCATCATACTTGGCGCCCAGCAGTGCCCAGGGGATGTGTGTCTGTTGGGCCTGAACTTCAGACTGCTGAAAAGGGACAGAAATTGGGGAAACTAAGGCTGGACAAGGTGTCAGGAGCCCCTGGATGTCCTTCGCCAAGAGAGATCAGACTCTGGGGCTGTCTCCCCCCCACGCCCTGGGGCTTCGTCCCACAGCCCGGGGTTCTCTGGGCCTGTCACCCTACTCCGCCGTGGATGGCCTTGCCTACCCAGCCCGGGGCAGGTGGCTTCTTCTCTGTGGCCCAGGCCACCTGCTTGCCAATACTACCGGGTCCCCTCCAGTGACAGTACCTCCCTACCCAGTGCTATGCAGAACTACACGGCCCCACCTGCAACCAGCTTCTAAAGCGGGCCCTGTGCGGGCGCACGCGTGTGTGTAGACGCACGCGCACACGCACGTGCGCCCGCCCAGTCTCTGTCTGCCAGCCAGGGGCGGGGCCTGCGGGGGCTGCTACTTATAAACAGAGAAGGCTGCGCTCCAGTATCAGCAAAGGCAGGCAGACAACACTTTCCCTCCTTCCGCCACACTGGGGAGCAGACAGGGAGGGGGCCGGGGCTGCATCCGACCAGAGCAAGCCTGACCCCTCTTGCCCTGGCGGCTCCGGGAACCCCGTGCTCTCAGGAGCCCCCACTACCCATGGCTGGCCCTCGCCCCATCCCCGGAAGCACCCTTCGGGCCTGTACCCCACAGCCTCGCTGGCGCAGGACCCCTTTCTGAACTGGACCATGCAGGCGACTTCGTGGCCCTGGGGTTGTCAGTCGAAGAGACGGAAGTGGGGCTGCCCTAGTTTAGCACCCGTGGTGCGCGCCGACAGGGGTGGGAGGGTGCAGCCCAGCCCCGGCCCCGCACCCACCTGGAGCAGGTACTCGAACTGGTAGATGCACAGCCCCAGCTCCGCCATGCTGGGCTTGAAGAGCTCCCGCAGGCGGTACTCCTGCATCAGCCGCACGAACACACAGAAGGCTTCTTCCTCGGGCATCTGGGGGAACAGGCAGGGCTGGGAGGGGTGCTCGCCACTCTTCTTACGGCCCTGGGGTGCAGGGCTTCGCCTGCTTCTGTTCCATTTAGATTTATAGAACAGGGACTGCGGGGGCAGCCCAGACCCTTCTAACGGGCCTCTGGTCAGTATGGCCACCTGGGTTTGATGATGGGAACCCTCCTGAGGCCAGGGTCACCTGCCACAGGCCGCCCGGTAGGAAACTGTGGTGCTGGGACTTGAAGCCCAGGTCTGCCCACCTCCAAAGCCCAAACTGAGATACCCCCTGGTCCCCCCCACCCCCAACTGTCTCCATTCTTGCCTCCTGAGTCTGCTGGGGTCTCTGGAGGAAACCCTCAGCCCACCTAAGACCACACAGGCTGACCTAAGTCCCCTGCCTGAGGTCCAGCCCCTGGGCGGTGTCAGTGGCCAGCCTCTCTGTGCCCACTCACTGGTGGCTTGGCCTGGAGCCTGGCAGAAGTCACGCACGCATGGAGAGGGAAGCTCTGACTCTAGAAGGACCCTGGGTGGAGGGAACACTGCTCCTGCCACAAGCCTGGCCCCAGCCACCTACCTGCATGAGGAGCAGGCCCACGATGAAGGCGCTGCCCTGGCAGTAGCCCACCTCCCTGTCCACCAGGGAGTACGCCTGCAAGGGAACACGCGCGTCAGGGCCCACCCCAGCAGGCCAACACCAACGGGGTGGGGGGGTGGGGGGTGTGGAGGGGTGAGGCCCGAGGGTCCCAGGCCTCACCTTCATGACGTTGAAGAGGACCTCCTGGCCCAGGCTATCCTGGCCCTTGAAGAACTCGTGCTCTGGGTAGGTGCGGGCAATGTCCCTGCGGATCAGCTTCTCGCATGGCGAGGACATCTTGAGCAGCTCCGAGTACTGGTTCTTGACCGGCATGTCTGTGGCGCTGCACAGGAGCTGCCACACGATGGCCCGGAAGTGGTGCGGGATGCCCTTGCGGATCAGCTCCTGACAGCAGGGCGGGGCGGGGGGGGGGGTGCAGGCTGGGCTGGACCCTGTCCTGGGGCAGCCTCCCCACGGCCCCCTGGACCAGCCCTCCCCCGCGGCCCAGAGCTGGGGGAGCCACTGTGCGGCAGAGTCCACACCACTTAACGTGCTGTCCCCAGCTGGGCACGGGACACAGCAGGGCAGGAGACAGCCGGGTACCTGAGACGCCAGCGTGACAGCCACTTGTCTCGCCATTCCCACCCCGTGCCTCGTCCCGCCCCTGTCCTGGCAAGGATCATCTCCACCGCTGCCCTCTGCCCTCGAGCCCTGGAAGACCCCCGACCCCGGCGGCTACCGGAGGCCATGGGGCCCAGCTGGTCCCGCCCCGCCTCACAGGCTCCGCCCACCTTCAGCAGCTTCTCTTTCCTGCGTCGCCACTCCTCCCACTCGTTGGCGATCCGGCCCCACAGGATCCAAGTGTCCTCCTCCAGGTGGCTCAGGTTGGAGGAGGCCGAGGAGCTGGACACCAGCGAGGAGCCGCTGTTCCGCCGCGAGCCGTTCATGGAGCGCATGGACTTGGAGTCGGCTTCCAGGAGCCTGGGCAGGGAAGGCTGGTGGAGGCGGGCCCAGGCCTCGGGCACCTCCCGCCGCAGCCCTGGGTCTCTAGTGACGCTGTGGGGCGCCCCGCCCCTCCTCTCGGGAGTCCCAGAGGCCGCCAGGCATTGGGTCTAAATTGTTCTTGCCCAGTGACCTTGGCCGGTGCCCTAAACTCTCTAAGCCGCGCCCCTATTCCGGGGCCCCTGGAGAGGCCGCCTTCCGGGAGTCCCATTCCGCGTCTAGCACTGGGCTGAGAAGCCTGTGCATGAGCTAACTTAGTCTTATCAGCCCAGCAGGGCAGGTGTTGTTAAGATCTGGGCTTTACAGACCAGGGGTAGAGAGGGCGAGCCACGGGCGGCGGCAGCCTGCTGGAAGGAGGCTGCGTTACCGCGTGTTCCCGCAGCTCCGACATCTGGGGCCTCCCAGCCGGTGGAGGGACCGCCCACGCAGGCCTAGCAGATTCCTAGAGATAGTTAAGGATTTGCCTGCCAGTGCGCCTTTCCTATGCAGACCAGCCAGTCTAGAAGCCACAAACCGAAGGCCTCTCCTGCTCTAATCCCCCCAGGCGGGGGGCCAGACAACTAGGGCTAGCCCCCACCCCAGAGCCTGGTAAGATTATTTAAACCAGCCAGTGTTCTACCTGCTCACACAGCCTTGCTGTTTCTTCTTGCAGAAGCCACAGCAAAGGCTCCTGCGCACATTTTCCTTCACCCCTTCTGCCCCCCACCCCCCTGCCACCGATCCTGGTACTTTCCTGTTTAGTCCCACATGGTGAGGCGCTCCCCCACTCCCAAACCCCCTTAGGGACCATGAGTAACAAACTCTTGACCTGTTGTCCTCGTCATATCTGAATAATAATAACAACAACACCCACATTTTAAAAAGGGGAAGAGCAGAGGAGAAAGGTGGGAAGGCCTCGCTTTGCCCTTCCCTCCAACAAGGGCTCAGTCAGCAAAGGCCAGGTTCACACGGCCTCTTGCAACCTTGGTCTCGTCTGATTGGGGACACTGTTCCTCCAGGGGTGAGAGAACCACACACAGGACCCCTGTTGAGCCTTTGCCCAGGGCCAGGCCCAGCTCTGAGCGTGAGGGGCCACCAGGAACTTCTAACTTCTGTTTGGGGCCCCAGCTGCACCCCCGAGGCCGCGCAGCGTGCCCCAGGCCCGCACTCACCGGTTCTGCTCCTCCAGCTTGGCCAGCAGCTCCAGCTCATCGGGGCTGAGGTTTTCAGAGTCTGAAGTGGGGGAGCAAGTGGGGGCCGACAGGGCCTCCTGGGATGAGGAGTCGGGGCTCAGAGTGGGGCTCGCCATGGTGGGCAGGCTCATCGGCTGCGAGCAGGGCCAGGTCACAGCTCTGTCTGGGGACCAGAGACACACGTGGTCAGCACTGGGTGGGATGCCTACCCTGTCCGGCCGGCTCTGGGCGCGCTGAGCCTGCTGCTCACCTGGGTGCATTTCCCCACCCAGAGCTTCCCATCGCTGGTCTGTCCGCTCGGTGCGCCCCTCATCCCCATGCACTGCAGCCCAGCGGATGGCCGTGCTGGCTCCTTCCACTCCAGACGCTACCTACCAGAAGCCCTGCCTGTGTCTAGCTGCGTGGACGGAAACAGAAGATGTCCTACTGTCCCTGGGCATGAAGGCCAAGTCTCAGCTTGACCCCTCTGAGTCTTCAGCAGGGTCACGGGCCAAGGGTCCCTGTCACTCAGACTTTGGGGGTGCAGAAGCCCCTGCTTCAGTGGCCCTTCTGATAGCCTCGGTCCCTGTCTCTGGCTGTGGCCGATCCCGGGAGCCCTGCATCGGCATCTGACCTTCCCCATCTCATCAACGGAAGTGGGCTGTTGGCACAGCCAGAAGCAATTATTCTCTACTGTTAATTGTCCGTTGCTGCCAACAGCCGGAAGAGCCGACTCCCCTTGGGCTGGGCAACCAGGGATGGACGTATCAAAGTGCTGGGAAGCTGCCCCAGTGGCGGCAGAGAGAGAGCCACAGGCTCTCATCAGTACCCTGACGGCGGTCTGCTGTGTGCCGGGTGGGTGCCAGGCCCATTTGTCTTGTTCTTCTTGGGGATGGTCTGGCCTCACCCTCCTGGGTGGGGGGGGTTCTAGAACACTGGCCTCTTGCTTCCTGCCGGCTTCAGGACAGGCAGTTCAGCACCAGGCCGAAAACCAAGCTCTGGACTCCAACGAACCTGAGTCTGAACTGTGGCTCCCCCTCAACCAGCTGTGAGGCCTTGGGCCGGCCACTTGGCTTCTCTGAGTCTCCAAAGACAGAGGATCATGTGGGACTGACTTCAGAGTAACATGGGAGAACAGTGATACTTAATGACTGCTCTCTCCCTCCTTGCTGGCCATTTTTATTCATACCAGGGCCAGGGCCAAGGCCAAGGTCTAGCTGGACTCCAGGGTTCTGCTATGCCTGGTGTGAGGACTGTGGGCAGGAGATGGCGTCACCCTGGTGGGAGGGTTTAGGGGTTGGGAATGGTTAGAAGAGCGGAGGCAGGGGCCAGGGTGGTGTTCCTTCTACTCGGTCATGCTTCTGGTAAGCCCAGGCTAGCATCAAGGGTGTAAGAAGATGGGGTCTCCAGGGCCCTGGAGGCAGGAAGAAAATGCTGCTCCCCTCACTGTCGCTTTGGATGGCTCCCTCACACCCACCTACTGCCCCGCATAGTCTGAGCCAGGAATGCACTCTTGCCCTTGGACTCCACCTGACCTGGCTCTGACAGCTCAGCCCACAGAGGGGCCCTTGTCCAGTCCCTGGAGAGGGGCCATCGGTCCCCTGTGCAGCAGAAGGACGATGACAGGACAACAGTAGACCATTTCACACCTGCCATTGGGTCACCAGGCACCTTCTTGCAGCCCAAACTGAGACCCCAACCAACACCTGAGGTCCCCCACAGGTTGGCTGGCCTTGACCTTGGCCATGCACTTCATTCCAGTCTCCTTCCCTTGTGCTGCACTGTCATGGGGGCAGGGGAGGTGGGCATCCTTTTCCCACCTTGTAGGGTACCCAGAAGTCCTCCCTTCCCTGGTCTCTGTGGCTCCTTGGGGCCACTGGTCCTGCCTCTGGGTCCCAAAGGCTCTCCAGTTCTGTTAGGTGCCAAGGACTCTGGCTTTGGTGAGTGGTCCAAACTCTAGGTGGCCCATGCTGGCGGACCTGGAAGACTTTTTCTTCTCATCGCCTAGCTGGCTGGGGATGACTGGCCCAAAGACCAAGCCACTGTGCACCGTCTAGCCAGGAGTTAGTTAATCTCTCCTGAGAGGTGGACAGTGGGGGCCACTCTGGGGCCCACTGCAGGGTCAAAGTCTGTGACCAGCCAGGGCAGAGATGGGCTGTGGACAAGAAGTGCTGACCTAGAAGGATCTCTCTGGGCAGGGAGGGGCTGGGAAGGCAGTGTGGGTTTCCCGACGTCAGATTTGGGAGGTGGGGAAGATGGGGTGGAGGCGAGGACCGGAGCCTCCTAAGCACAGTTGGTTTGGCGGGGGGGCTCTAGAGAAAGAGACCACATGTGGCCAGGGTAGTGGTCTGGGCCCACCATGTCCTTGCCAAGCCCGGGAGATCCAAGCCTTGGATCTCCCACTGCTGTCCCCAAAGAGCCCAAGAGAATGGTTCAGCTCTGGGTTTCTGATTTAAAAACACAACCAGGGGCCAGCCACTAGCGGAATTTGTTCAGCTGCTTATCACATATTCATGTGAACTTCATACAGGAAATAAAACTGATTCAATACATAAGGCTGAAATTTGCAGTCTGAGAGGCAGAATCTTCTGATCCCTCAGGAACTTTCTCTTGACTCATTGCCAGACTAAACACAGCCTGGCTTTGGAAGCCATCCTCCTGATGCACACGTGTACACACACACACACACACACACACACACACACACACACCCCTTGTGCACACTCACACGCCCACACATACTTACCTACATTCACACACTATTTCACACTCCATGTGCTCACATTCATGCACTCTCGTACCAGTTTCTTGCGTGTGTGTGCACACACGGACACACACAATCTCGCACCCACGCACATGGATACACAGGCAGACACACACTCAGATACATGCACACTCATACACATCTACACCATCTCACGCCCACATTGTCACACGCACATACACACATACACGCACGCACACTTCCTGCACTGACCAGATCTCGTCACCCTCGGGACTCAGTAGATTGGGATGGACCCTGGCTTTCTGCCCTCCTAGCTCTGTGGGTGGCCCGTTCCCTCCCTGATGCTCGCTGAGGGCCATCTGAGGCCCAGGCACTGTTCTAGGCCCAGGGATACAGAGCAGAAAGAGGCAGATAAGACACCGACTCCACAGCCTTCCTGCCCTTACTGGATGGGTACAGAGACACAGACAAGGCAGGCGCCCTCAAGGGCTAGGGAGCCACAGGCCTTTGAGATCCACACACTGGCCCACTAGGTCTGAGGTCCCGGCCTCTCGGCATCCTCAACTTCAATCCCCTTTGCCTCTGTTCCACCTCAGCCACTTAAAGGGGGTGCCGGACCCTGCAGAGCGGGTAGTGGGCCACCTACCCCTGTGCCTGCTGGCATTACCACCCTCCACACCCCTGTAGCGTGGCCTATGGCTTACAAGGCTGAGTCAGCCCAGAGGGACGCCAGTGAGCTGGGGCCGGGGGCAGGGGGGCAGAAAGGTCCAGCTGCTGGATGTTTCCCACCTCCCTTTCCCTTTCCTTCTCAGGGCTGTTTGGACACAACCACTCACACTTCCTCCTTCTTGAAGTCCTCTTCCAGCTAGCTCAGAGAGACCGGGCTGCTAGCTGCTCTCGAGTCTTCAGTGACCACATATGTGCCTCCTTTCTGTATATGGATGTGTATGAGCGTGAGTGTATTTGTCCTCTCTTCTGAGCACCTGCCAGCCAGTCCCTGAACATCTCTATCAGATCCCCTGCCAGGGCAAGAACGGCCCCTGTCTGGGTCCCCACTTCTGTGGTGCCCTGCACGGAGTCTACAACACAGCACTCGAGGAACATCTGAGGAACAGCACCCACCTGCCCGCACACCGATGTTTGCTGAATGCCTGTCAGATGCTGGGCACCACACTGAGCAAAGACGGACGGAGCTGCCGCCTCCCCCCCACCCCGAGCACTCGGGGTGTCGAGAGTAAGAAACTATCATCCAAGCTTTCTCTTACAGATTGAGAGACATGCTTCAAAGAACAGACAGAGTGGCACACCATCTGGCAGCTCCCTAAGCAGTTAAATATGGAGTTCCCATGTGACCAGCAATTCTGCTCCTAGTATCTACCCAGAAGAATGGGAAACATACATCCATGTGGAAACATACATCCACGTGGAGACTTGTATGTGACCCTTCACGGCAGCTTCATTCATACTAGACAGTGCAAACAATACAATGTCCACTTAAACGGATGAGTGGATAAGCCCAGTGCGGTCCATCCATGCACTGGAATATGATTCAGACACAAAAAAGGAAGGAAGCTCTGATACATGTTGCCATGTAGAGGAGCCTCAAAGACACTATGCTCTGTGAATGAAGCCCGACACAAACGATCACAAGTGACATGACTGCATTGAGTAAGAAATGTCCAGAATAGGTAGATCCATAGGGACAGGAAGTTGGCTAGAGGTTGCCAGGGGTGGTGGGGGGGAATAGGGAGACCTGCACCCAGGATTTCTTTTTTGGAGTGATGAAATTGTTCTGGGACTAGACAGTGATGAAGTTGTACCACGTTGTGGATATACTGAAACCCACTGACCTGTTCACTTTAAAAGGGTGAATTTTGTTATGTGAACAATAACTTAGAGAAAAGGATGATAAGGGATGGGCTGGGCTGGCAAAGGAAGGGGGTGCTGAAGCAGGAGGGAGGCATGCCACTTCAGGAAAGACTAGAGAGTTCTGCAGGGGCCAGACTCCCACAGGGCCCTGCAGGCTCAGGCAGGAGCCTGGCTAAGCTTGAATTTTAGGAAGACCCTCCTGGTCCCTGGTGTGGAGATGCTCGTCCAACTCAATACTCCCCTGACTAAAGCCAGCGCCTGCTCCTGCTGCACATGGGACTAGCTGGGTCCATGGTACTAACCACCTGCTCAGGCCAAGCCTGGCGCTATTCTCCTGCTGCTTGCCCAAACCCTTCAGCCACTCCCTACTTGGAGATGGAGCCCAGCCCAGATGTTTTCACCTGGTGCACCCAGTCCTGCCAGCCTTGCCTCCTCCCTCATCCCAGCCCTATGATGCTCAGCCCTCCAGGAACCCCTGCTTCTTCCTGTCTGTATCTTCGCACATGCTGTGCCCTCTTGCCGGAAAAGCATCCTCCAACACCTGGTTTGAATTTTTTCGGTGAAATCGTTCCTGTCAACCCCCACCTCCA